GATGTGGATGCCCTTATAACTTTGAACGTGTGATTTTATTTTTTATTTTTCTAATAAATTACTTTAACTTGAAGTTCAAAAGAATAAAATTATAAATATGCATTAAATTTTAATATTGTATTGTTTTTGTGTTTATTTTCTATGATTTAAAGATAGCTAGATTCAATTATTTATTAAACTTTGTTTTTTTGGTCATCCAAAAAAACTAAGATTAGCTCAAATGAGTCATTAGTCAAGTTGAAGGACATTTGTTTATTTACTTGATAGGTTGCAGAGTGGAACGAGCTAGTCGTGCCAAATGGTCCGCTTTTACATTCAGATTTCTAGGTGTATAAGAGATAAAGAAAAAGTTGAGAATTCTTCCTATTAGTGTTAATGCCGTCCAAATAAAGAGAGAAAGCCGGCCACGCCGTAGAAAAAAACATCATCTTCACCAAGTCAAAACAGTCAGTAAGAAACATAAAATCTCTGAAATTATGTCAATCATGCATCTCATCGCCCACACCAGAATTTCGACTTCAGCGTGAACAATTATTTCGTAAACCTTTTTATATATTTTATATCAAACAAAGTTCTTAAAATTAGTTGACCTTTATTGAATCAAATAGAAACCATACCGAACATGAACCAACCTGAACACAAACCAAACCAGACTAATTTGGTTCCAAACTTACAATGTTGTGTCAAACGTTAATCAATCATTCAAAATATAAACTACATTTTACCCCCAAAAGTTATGTCTGTTTGCATAGTTCGTCCACCAAAAATATTGAAATCGCTAATTTCGCTAATTCTATAGGGAAGTGTCAGTTTAGTCCACATTCTTCTATGTGAATGGCTCGTCTTCTCCGCGTGGCTCGAAACCCTACATTTGAAAGATCAACGGTCGCTTCAAAGAGACAAAATCCAAAGACCATTCTAAGTTTTCATTACAAAGCTTCGAACTTTAGGACCAAAACAATGTCGCAATCTTCTACTCCTCGCGAGAAACTCAAGAAAAAGAGCCGAGCGGAAAAACCAGAAGAAGAAGAAGAACCGCTTGGAGGAGACATAGAAGATCTCTTCAGCGGAAATGAAACTCAAGAAATCAGAATGTCTTTGCTTGATTGGTACGATACAAATCAGAGAGATCTTCCATGGAGGAAGAGAAGAAGTGAAAGTGAAAAGGAGAGAAGAGCTTATGAGGTTTGGGTATCTGAGATTATGCTACAGCAGACTAGGGTTCAGACTGTTTTGGAGTATTACAAACGTTGGATGCTTAAATGGCCAACCATTAATGACCTTGCTCAAGCTTCCCTTGAGGTGATTCTTCTCTTCTTCTTCTGTCAATTTGGGAGAATCAATTAGATGTAGAAAGACTTCTCTTTTCTTGGGTTTTTGGCAAATTGGTTAATTTGTAAAGACTTCTCCTTTCTCTGTGTTTCATTGTCACTAGGTGTGAAATTGGCTATAAAAACTCTAAAAGACTTCATCTTTTTGGTATTGTTCTGCATTTTTCTTTCATTAGTAGATGAAGAATTAGCTTAATTGTCTTATGTTGCTTGTCACTGTTTTCCTTAGTATTGGGTGTTATGTGTTTTGTACAGTCTTATTATGTGGGAAATTGGGTTTAAACTTTAAACTATATGAATCCTTATATGCACCAGTTGGGAAGTAAAGTTTCATCTTTTTGGGCTCCTTAGAATAGGATGTTGTGTGATTTGCATAATATATCGTTAGTAGATGAAGAAAGAGCTTTCTTTTATTGGGTTATGTTGTTTGTCATTATTTTGGCAAATGAGCTACTTTGTAAAGAATGTGTGAGTGTATGTTTATTCAGTCTTACTATGTGAGAATCTGAGAAGAAACTCTATATTTGAATACTTATGTGCATTTCTGGTATGTAAAGGCTTTGTCTTTTTATGTTATTTTGCTATTCATTTGCCTGTCATTGTAGGGAAGAGAGATATATATTAGGTCTGTATAAAAGTTAATGCCACACCATTTTCAATTTTTGTTTTCAGGAGCATGAGAAAAAATTAAGAGCTTTCTTTTCTTGTGTTATGTTGTACTTGCTTGTCTTTTTTTTCCAGATAATTGGCTCCTTTATAAAGAGTGTCTTTGTTTTTGATCTTACTATGTGGGAAATTGAGAATATACCCTATAAATGCCCCATTTGATTTCCTATATGGTTGTGTCTTTGGTAAAGACGGTGTTAGAAAATCCTGTTTGATGTGTAATAATAACTGGGAAGTAAGGCTTAATCTTCTTCGGTTTGCTGTGCATTTTCTCATCGTTAGTAGGAAATGACTACTCTATATTAGCCTCTAGCTTCAAATGCCACACCATTGGGATTTGTTTTTCTTCAGGGGGAGTGAGTAAAACATGTGATTTTGCTGCTAAGAAATTGAGTTATTCCCGCTGCAGGAGGTAAACGAAATGTGGGCAGGTTTGGGGTACTATCGGCGGGCACGTTTTTTGTTAGAGGTGAATACACTTCTGCAATCTGGCATTTGAACCTAGTTGATATGTTCACTGTATATCATAGTAATGCGTTCTTCTTGTCTTGATTCTCGTAGGGGGCGAAGATGGTTGTTGCAGGGAAGGATGGTTTTCCTAATCAAGCGTCTAGCTTGATGAAAGTTAAAGGAATAGGAGAGTACACAGCCGGAGCAATCGCCTCTATTGCTTTCAATGAGGTGAGTCAGTTTTATTTATTCAGTCATATATGTAAGCCATTCAGTAATCATCTTTACATCTTTTGGCACTTATTCTGTTCCAGGCGGTACCAGTTGTTGATGGAAACGTGATAAGAGTGCTTGCCAGACTAAAGGCCATCTCAGCTAATCCAAAAGACCGGCGTACGGCCAGGAATTTCTGGTGAACAAACTTTTGCATTTGCTCGGATGTCTTACTATTGAGACAATAAAAGAGGATAAGTAAATAATCTCTCTTTGTCAGGAAACTAGCTGCTCAGCTAGTGGATCCTTCACGTCCTGGAGATTTCAACCAATCTCTGATGGAGCTTGGTGCTACTCTATGTAGTGTTTCAAAGCCAAGTTGCTCTTCTTGTCCTGTTTCCAGCCAATGCCGTGCATATTCACTTTCCCAGGAAAACAGAACCATTTCTGTGACAGATTATCCTACAAAAGTGGTCAAGGCCAAGCCAAGGTGCGACTTTTGTTGCGTATGTGTTTTGGAAATACTGAATCTGGAGAGGAACCAATCAGGAGGTAGATTTGTTCTTGTAAAGAGACCTGAAGAGGGTCTGCTTGCTGGTCTTTGGGAGTTCCCATCTGTTATATTGGATAAGGAAGCTGGTTTGGCAACAAGGAGGAACGCGATCAACCTCTACCTTAAAGAAGCATTTCATGTACAACCCAAGAAAACATGCACTATAGTTTCAAGAAAAGAACTTGGAGAATTCGTCCACATTTTCACACACATACGTCGAAAAGTGTATGTGGAACTATTAGTTGTACAACTTACAGGTTTGACCGCTATCTATTTCTTTCTTTCTCGGTCTCTCTTTAACATTGACATGGACGTAAGTTTAGTCAGTAAAATTGACAAGAAATTACTCTCTTCTCTGTGTCATACAAGGTGGAACTGATGCTTTGTTGAAAGATCAGGCAAATGACACTCTGACATGGAAGTGTGTGGGCAGTGATGCTCTTTCTACCATGGGACTGACATCGGCTGTTAGAAAGGTATCACCTTTTCTTCTTCAAACAAAATAAAAAGACTACCCCTAGATGTGATTGCTTAGAACGAACAAGTTTTGAAATAGACAATGTTATCATAGGTTTTGATTAGGTTGTTCTTAAGGTAATTCATGATTGTTTGATTCAAGAACTCCATGTTTAAAAGTGTGTATATGTTGATGGAGTGCAGGTGTATTCAATGGTTGAAGCTCACAAGCAAGGCTCATCTGTTGCTCCTGACTCATCAAATAGAGCAGCCATATCGAGGAAACGAAGAATCTCATGACCTCCTTCTCACACTTTTCTATCTGTTGCTTAGCTTCTATATTTATTGTATAGCATTTGGATATCAAGGTCTTGTTTAGTTTTAACCAAAATCACATGTGATCTTGGTTTGAAATTGCACAATTGTTTTTTTCCTACTGTACCCCCAGGGGACAAAATTTCAGTTCAGTTCCATAAAGAGTTACAGTGTGGTTCAGCTGCTTGTTCGTACTACATAACTTTCATTTCAAAGGATCCAACCACATCTGATGAGCTCATTCTCAAGACTACTGCTAGTGAAAAATGTTTTTGCAAATTTGATTTGACATCCTGTATTTCTATACCTGATCAAGGTAAAAAATGTGTGACTTGTGATGCATTGTTTTGATGATTCTTTGTATACAAGTTCACTTGTTGTTGATTTCTATTATTGTATTAGGAACTGAAAGTGCCATCAGAAGCTGTACTTAGTGGAGCTTGGCTGAGTGGCCATCAGAGAGTGATTTCAATGATATAAAGAGGTTTTATGTGGTAAGATTCAGAACACGTATAATCATAGCTACACGTATGAGAATAATCGTAGCTACGACACACATAAAGAATTTTTCATTCTCAATGATGACTTTAAATATATGCAGGACCATCCATCATTGAGAATGAACAATTTTTTTTAGTTATCTATAACTTTAATTTGGGAATATCTAAATTAAGAATATCATTTCTGTTGATACTCATAAAATAAAAACAAAAATTAATAATTCCATCAATATTTAAGGAAAAGCATAATAAAAAAAAACAGTTTAAATTTAAAGAAACTAATCAAATCAAAGTAATCATCACATGAGTCTCGATGAAATAACAACGAAGTTTACATATGGAGAGTCAAAAGTCCTTGTGATTCACGTATACAAAGACTTGTCAAAAGACATACTCAAAAAGCACAACTAAACTGATTAAAGCTTGGCCAACAAGGTAAGATGTCACTTTCTATAAAAAGAAACGTCTACAATAAGAAGACTCAATGACTTCTTTCACTCACACCATCCCCTTATATATACATTATTTGACATGCATAGTAGCTCAAATCAAAACTCAACACTTCAAAAGTCTTAGAACTTCAAACATGTCACTCTTCACACTCTTCTTGGTTTGCTTTGGTCAAAAAAATGAACCACGGATCAACAACACAACCGACACTAACTTGGAGGTTTTGTCTTTAAAGAAACCAAAAAGCAAAACCGAGTCTCCGACAACTCCCACGATCGTCGTCTCTTATTTCCCAGTAGGCTCCAACCTTTCCCGTCTATAAAGATATAGGAACTATGGAAACTCAAATTTTGTGGTGATGATGAGAAGACAATGACGACATGACCAAGAAAGGATATGAGATGAGGCTAGATACTTTTGGTCCAGTCCAATCTTGTTTTTGTCCTTCTTGTATATGTTTGATTACGTACGTAATAGACTAATCAAAGAATATGCTTTATGGTTTATTATGGTCGAAATTTTTTTGTTATCTATTGACTTTGTTTTGTATAATTATGTATATCTCTTATTTTATATAGCGCCGATTTAAATTGTTTTTTTTTGTTTTTTCTCTGTTAAGTGATAATAACTATAATGATTTGGAAATCCAAATTAAATTATCAGCTTTATAATTTAAACTACTAGTAAAGAAAGGTAAGAAAAAAACACAAAAATCTTGTTTCTAGCTAATATTTTTAGATGTGTTGGGAATGTACACCACTCCGTTTGTATAAATTATGGACAATACTTTTACCAATTTAAAGAAGTCTATACCAGCTTTGTCTAATCATTAGTTAGACCATCTTCAATGTATATCTCTATATTTTTCTTTAAAATAGAGCAATTCTAAAATAGAGCATTGTTTTGCTCCAATGTATTATTACTCTAATTCCTATTTTTAGAGTAACTCTATAATTTACTCTATTTTAGAAGAAGATATATAGTAGGGTTGGAGCAAATGTTACTCTAAAATAAATGTTTTGACTCTAAAATAGAGTAGGGTTGGAGATGCTATTAGATCCGGCAAATCAAACTAATTTAGAGTTAGTCATCAAAAATCATATTTAATCAAACAAAGAGAAGAGATAAATGTTCTGAGTGGTACGTAATGGAGCCTTATCATGAGTAGACTTCTCCAAGTACATACATAACAAAAACTAACATGACTTTTTCTTCATATTTCAAACCTAAATAACGGTTCTGAACAGTGGTTCCATGATGATATGCCACATTTAAAAAGAGCATTTCAATTCGATTTCATATATAAGTAACTAGATTTGTCATGATATGGATTCAAAAGACATCATTGACATAACACAAGTAAAGGCGATATAAACATCGTTTTCAATACAACCTTTATTCTTGGATTTTTGATTTTTGTTGAAATGGTTTTGGTATGATGCTTTCTTACAATGTTTGTCCTTTAACTTTCTGTACTGATTAAACACATGCACATTGATCAAATAATAATACATTGTATTAAAAAGAAATAGAAATGACTATATGTTATCACGACGAATAATTAGTTGATATTCTCGAAATTAGTTGCTAGCCAACCGAATGAACCACACTCATCGAAATTATCAGGACGAGTTATTAGCTCTCACGTGACTAAGCCCTCTTTGGCTCATTGTCAAACCATCGTTGATATGGTTGGATCTATGTTGTCTTGTCGACTTAAAAACGTTTCTAAAAAATTAGAAGAGCTTCCGCAATCATGTATCTCACATACCATTGAGAAAAAAGATGGCTGAAACTGCTCAAGTGGAAGGATTTTCAAAGATAGTGATAAAAAAATTTCCGGATGGTCCGATGGCTACTACTTTCTCAATAAAGGTTCATCCAAGCCTTGCAATAATTACATATCACCAAACCATTGTCTTTTCCTTAACCGATAATTAATATGACGGACTATCTATTTTTCAATCAATTAAAATCAATTATCTACGTAGAGCTTTTTTTCCTACGTATGATGGCTATTAATTATATAATTAACTAGGAGTTGACCCGCGCGGAAGCCTTGCAATAATTACATATCACCAAACCATTGTCTTTTCCTTAACCGATAATTAATATGACGGACTATCTATTTTTCAATCAATTAAAATCAATTATCTACGTAGAGCTTTTTTTCCTACGTATGATGGCTATTAATTATATAATTAACTAGGAGTTGACCCGCGCTCCGCGCGGGAGGTTTATAATTTTGTTTCGTTGATTTTGTATTCATATTGTGAAATTTTATTATTATTTTTAATTGATTTTCAAAAATATTATAATTATTTTCTCTTTAACTATTATCTTTCAATACTCAAATTTGGATTAAAAGCATTTGATTCAATTTATGAAATATTATTTTTTTTCTTTTTGATCATGTTATAAACTAATATTTCACTTTCATTTTATTTTTCCTCTTTATAATTTTATATATACAATTACATAAATTTTGTTTTAGTCTACCATAAATTTAAATTTTACTTCCATTCTAAAACTCAGTAACATATTTAAAATATTAAATTATGATCAATTTAAAATGAAAGTTGAATTATATTATTACCACTAATAAAAAAATTAAAGTATTGTTTTTCTTATTTTATTATTTCATTTTTTTACATAATTTATTTTTATTTATATAAACTTTCTATTAATTAAATAAGTAACATAAATATGCACTAAATGAATGTTTTAAATTTATTTTAATGTTTAAACAAAAATGTGGCTTAGGTGGATGCTTAGGTGGCATCATGAGAAGAGAGAAAAAGCTAACTTTATATATATAGATACTTATACTCGTATCATATTGTCTTTTTAACGAAATTTGAATTATCTATATATACATTTTAAAGTATATTTTGTACTAAAATCTATTTTGGTTTATAACATTTATTTTGTAATATTTGCATAATTAATTACTTACCATCTGAGTAAAAAGAAAAACTTAAAAGTAAAATTTGTAATTAAATCACAAGCAAATCGCAAAATTGGAAACTAATATTAATTACATTAAAAAAATTCTAAAATTTCTCTCTAATAAATCGAACCTCTCTCCAATATATTTATATAATCTTATTTTTTTAAAAATTTATATTATTACATAAAACATATGTATAATAAAAATACAATATTCCGCATATCTTGCAATTAAAATTTTTGAAAACGGTTATATATTACTCAAAAGATTAAAAAAAATGTGTGTGCAACGTCTACTTAAGGCAAAATTTTGTAGATTATAGTTCATAACCATTATAAATAGGACTATTATGCTTCCTACTACAAATGAGCAGAAAACTTGATTTCTGAGGCATCCAAATTAAAATTTTTATTTGGTTGAATCCGTTTATTTATTTATGAAAATTAAAAATTTAAAAAAGTTTCAAAATATTATCATTTTAAATTTTAAAAATATTTAATATTATTTTGTAAATATTAAAACTGTTAGAAATTTCCGATATTATAATAAATAATTTTAGCTTTATAGAATATTTTAAATATTAAAACTCTACAAAATTTAATTAATAGTTTAACTCAGAAAAAAGTTTAGAATATAATTAATATGATTTAAAATGTTTGATTTTACATAATAATGATTATATTTTTCTTACAAATTGCCTACATTTCAAAAATTTTTACCGGTTAACTTAAAATATAAATTATGTATTTAGAAAAAAAATTGTAGGATTAATAGTTTTACACGTGTCATATATCATGTTATCTTTTCTGATTCAATTTCATTTAAATAAATAATCAATTAGTATAAGATATTGAATTAAATATATAACCTACATGTAAATAAATTATTTAGTAATTAAACGCCTTCAATATATGTAGGAGCATCCATCATTAAGAATAAGAAAATCACTTATGTTGATATTAATAAAAAAGCAAAATTTATATCATCGATATTTTAGGAAAAGCAAAAGCAATGAAATATTGATCAAAACAAATCTCAACACTTCAAAAGTTTTAGACCAAACTCAAACATGTCTTTCTACGCAGCTCTTCTTCGCTTGCTTAAGTTGCTTTGGTCAAAAACATGAATCACGGATCAACACAACCAACACAAACTAGAAAATCATTTTTGTGGTTATTGAGAAAAACAAAAAAACCATTCATAAATAATCGTCACGCAGTCTTGATGAAATGACAACATAATTTACATGCATGGAGAGTCAAAAGTCCTTGAGGTTAACGTATACGAAGACTTGTCAAAAGGTACAACAGATTAAAACTTGCTTGGCCAACAAGGTAAGATGTCACTTTCCAAAAAAAGAAACGTCTACAATAAGAAGACTCAATGACTTCTTTCACTCACACCATCCTCTTATATATACATTATCTGACATACATAGAATAGTGGCTTAAATTAAAACTCAACACTTCAAAAGTCTTAGAACTTCAAACATGTCACTCTTCACACTCTTCTTGGTTTGCTTTGGTCAAAAAAATGAACCACGGATCAACAACACAACCGACACTAACTTGGAGGTCTTGTCTTTAAAGAAACCAAAAAGCAAAACCGAGTCTCCGACAACTCCCACGATCGTCGTCTCTTATTTTCCAGTAGGCTCCAACCTTTCCCGTCTATAAGGAAATAAGAACGACGGAAACTCAAATTTTGTAGTGATGAGAAGACAATGACACGACCAAGAATGGATATGAGATGAGGCTAGTTACTTTTAGTCCAGTCCAATCTTGGTTTTTTTCTTCTTATAGATGTTTGATTACGTACGTAATAGACCAATCAAAGAATATGTTTTATGGTTTATTATTAGATTTTAACATGTGGTACACAACACGACCAAGAAAGTATATGAGATGAGGCTATATATATACTTTGGTCCAGTCCAATCTTGTTTTTGTCCTTTTTATATTGGTTTGATTACGTAAATAGACCGATTTTGCTTTTGGTCGAAATTTTTTGTATTGATATTGTATATCTCGATGTCACATAATTCGACCATGTAAATTGTCTTGTCAAATGATACTAAATAACAATAATGATTTGGAAATCCAAAGTGGATAAAAAAAATTATTTTAGTACTGTGGAAACTTATATATAATTATGTATATCTTGAATTTTATACCTAAATCGACATAGTTAAATTATGCATAAATCAGTTGATTATTTTATATGCAACATTTTTATTTTTTTTATATCCAAAAATACGGTAGTAAGCTTATTTTTTCAAAAGTACCCCAACAAAGTTTTATTTTTACAAAAATAACACAAACATAAAAATAAATTTTGAAGGGTGTAAAATTTCTTTTTTTTTGGTCCGGGTTGAATATTTTAAATTTAGAGTATAGTTTTTAGGGATAGTGTTTAATGTTTAAGATTTAGAGTTTGGTTTTTAAGGTTAAAAACATAATTTTAGTCTTGTGGTAATATTGGAAAAAAATAAAATTTAATTTTGGATAGATTTAACTAACAGTTAGTTGTTTAAAAAAAATTACTTGTCGTATTTATGAAAATTTCCCTAATTTTACCAATATCATTAACCAAAATAATGGATTTTTGAAAGAATTTTTTCTTACTAGTGAAAAACAAATATTTTTCTTGATTTTTTTTTCAAATTAAAATATATATATATATATATATATATATATATATATATATATTTTGTTGAATAAATGTTACATTCGTTGATAAAATGTTTATATCGATTTCGTTGGAATATGGCTTTGACTATAGATCCTTAATAGTCTTCTTGCTAAACAATTATATGGGGAGTCAAAAGTTCTTGAGGTCCAAGTATACACATTAATAATGAAGGACACGAAAATATAAGTCACTTTCCAGAAATAGACATCTCCTAAGAAGATTCAATGAACTCCTTCAACATCCCTTAGTATATATTTACATATATCTTACACTTATACTTAACATAAAAACTCAACACTTTGAAAATTTTTAAAACCCAAAAAGAGATGTCTCTCTTTACACTCTTCTTTGCTTGCTTTGTTCCAAACTCAAGTTCACGAGTTAACACAACCGACACTAACTTGGAAGTCTTGTCATTGAAAAGACATAAAAGCAAATCCGAGTCTCTAAGAAGTCCTTCTCCTATAATCATCGTCTCTTATTTTCCATCAAGCTCCACTCTTTCTCGTCTGTAGTTAGATTTGTTTAAGTTTGAGGAAGACATTGACACGACCAAAAAAGGATACTATTGATGCAGTCTAATTTTATTTATGTCCCTTTTGTTCTCGTTTGATTTTGTATTAGACCAATCAAAGAATCTGATTTTGGTCGACACTATTTGGTATTTGATTTTTGTTTTGTGTAATTATCGAATTCCATAACCAAACAAAAAAATTATATATCGAATTCTATTAATTAATAACGTGTGCAATGGCAAATTTTCAAGTGAAATTGATGGAATCTGATCCCTTTAATTAAACACCACAAGCTGTGTCAACTAAATTTAAATCGTACATGTGGCTAGGGAATCCATATACATTTCTTTTGGAAATACGAACATTTTGTATATATATATATTTTAATTTTTAAAAATACATTTTGTATATTAATGTGTACTAATTCATTTTTCCCAAAAAATAAAAAGATGTATTCATTTATAAGGTTTCTTGGCCGTGGCCATGCCTTTGCCAGTCCCTTTTGTTCAAACGACCAAGCTGTATTTATTATGAGCCCAAGAAATCAGAAAATTATCAAGACCGATTATTTCTCATTTATTTCTCATTATCAGTAGACTATATTTAATCCGAGCTACACAGCGGGACAAAACTTTTTATTCTTATATTCTAATTTTCCTATTATGCTAGAATCTGTTTAAAAACTATTAATCTTAATTAAATCATTTTAATTCGACATGTCTGATATTGAAATTGTTAAAAAAAAAATAGTATAATGGAGTTTTAACTCGTTTTGAAGTATTATACTAATGATATTTTTTTTAATATTTTAGTAACACGTTCCGTCATACAACCCATGTATAAATGTTAGTTTTAAAACAAACATAATTTATAATAATTGTTTTTATATGTATTTTGCATAGTTTACATGATAGTACTAGCATATTGATGTAGTTTAGTGGTAAATGAATTACTTTTGTAAAATATAACGCGGAGTCCGAAAATTTCCTCCGACATAATTTGAATTAAATATTCTCCCAAAATCCTTGCAAATATAATATACTAGATTATATATTTATGTATCAGTACTCATTTTTAGGACTCAAACCATTGAGGATGCTATTATGGCTAAAAATATTTTATTTTATTTTATTTTATTTAAGTGGATTTGATATAAGAATAGTGGGTTTGGGTATTATATGGTGATCCAGTTAGTGTGGTTGGATTGGTAAATAATTGAATATATGAAGGATCATCGTGTCTTTTAATATTTTTTTGACTTAAAGAAAATATAAACAAATATCATCATTATAACAAGAGTAATAGAGAATTTGTTTTTAGTTTAGAGAGCTTGCGAGATTAGCATAAGGCTCAAATCAATAAAAAGTTTTACGTACAAAGAAAGTAATCAGATACGATTACATTATTATTCTTTACTTTATAGTTTCTATAGCAACCGAATCAGGATTTGAATGAATTGTCTAAGATTGTAACATAGCACATTTGAAAAAGAAAAAGTAATTCTTATGGACTTAACATTTTCATCAAGCATCCATCTTAAAGCCAAATATATCCTATTCTTCTTTGTTGTACATACCTATATAGAAGGAGAATAACAATTTATCTATTTATACAATGCTATTGGTTTATAGTTTACACATCAAATTAAAAATCCCACTTCATTAAAAAAGTCCACTACAACATCGTAATGCATTTTGCATCCGATCACCCTAGACACATATTTGAAGAATCTGCATGCAAATCGAGTGATGCAGTTTGCAAATTATGTAAAAGTGAGGTTTCTTTAGAATCTTTGGCATATTATTGTCGTGAATGTAGCTCACATTTTCACAAGGATTGTCTCACAATAACTAATGCAGAGATTCATGAGCATACTCTAACTTTTATACGTAGGGAGATTTATTTCCCATGTGATGTTTGCGGGTGGGATCCTAATGGTATGGATATGTACGGATGTTTACAATGTGATTTCTTTCTACATAGACAGTGTATATACTTACCAAAGGTTATAAAGCTCACACGTCATTCACATCGTCTCTTTCACGTTTTTCGTATCTCTAGTGGCGATAACATTTGTGGAGTTTGTCATTCTCAAGTTGATGCTGGATATGGAGGATATTGTTGTATTGAGAAGACATGTAATTATGTTGTCCATTTAAGCTGCATAATTCGTTTCGATGTGTGGGATGGGAAAGATCTTGTAGAAGAACCTGAATCAGAAGAGGTTGACTCTGAACTTGACCTCGCGCCGTTGGTGGAAATAGATGGAAAATCAAAACGCCATATTAGCCATGAACATGACCTACTAAGACTCGACATGGATGACAAACAAGAAGGTGGACAAGTATGCCAAGCATGCATCCTACCAATTGAATATGGTGGTTTCTTGGACTGCAAGCAATGCGACTTTGCTCTCCATGAAGTGTGTGCGAGACTTCCTCGGAAGATGGAACATGGGATACATATTCATCAGCTAACCTTATATGTCGAGACGTGGAACTACGATAATGGGTTCTTCACTTGCTCTGTTTGTAACCAACACTCTTGTGGATTCATGTACAAGTGTAGCCAAGAAGAGTGTGGGTTTAAAATGGACGTGAAGTGTGCTTCTTTTGCGGAACCATTCAACCATAGCCTGCACAAACATCCTCTTTATCTAGCAATATACTATGACGAATTTATTTATAAGTGTGTAGGCTGTGCCCAATCTTCAAGGTATGCAGCAACATGTTACAATGAATGTTGGTTCTCCTTGGAATTCAAATGCGTGAACTTACCAAAATCAGTAAAATACAAGCATGACACTCACTTACTCACTCTATATTGTGATAAAGATTATTCAAAGAGATATCAAGATCAGCTTGAGTGGTGGTGTGAGATTTGTGAAGAAAATATAATGAAAAGTAAATTTTGTTACACCTGCCATGATTGCTCCACCACTCTTCATGTCGAATGCATATTAGGGAAATACCCTTATTTGAAATCTGGCCATAGGATCAAAGTAAGTGGTTTCGAGGTCGAGATTGTTCCAAACAATGGTGTTACTCGGCCGATTTGTCATACATGTCAACATATTTGCCAAGACAAACAAGTTTTCAATGGAAGAGATGATGTATGTTTCTGTTCTATCAATTGTATTCGTTCTAACAAATGAGTCATGTACTAAATAATGAGTACTCCTTACAATTTCAAAGTTAATTAAAAAAAAAAAACAAAATTTAAGGTCATAAAAGCTTTGCATCCGAACAATGATTACTATTATCTTTTTTACCAAACAATACAAGAGCTGATAAATAGATAATGTTCACAAATCAATACAAGAGAGTATCAGTTGAATTAAGATTTACAAGTAAAGAATAAATTGATCACTATGGAGTTTGCTTTATGTAGAAGCATACTATAAATCCATAATTTATTATATCCCTTTCTTTGTTTGGACATTTGAACCCCAAACGACAATAGAATCATTCATACGTTTCAGAAAGGGAACATATATATATATATATATTTCCTTTGTAATCTTATATTATTCATTTCCTTTATAACAAAATCATCGATATATAATAAAGTTTATTACAATGATTTTTCGTCTGTTTGTATTTGTTTTGATAAGTTATTTTTCACTTTTTGTTTTCAGACTAAGTGTAAATAAAACAACGAAAATTCATCTGAGCTGGATTGATTTTTCTTGAGTTGGAATCTTGGAACTACGTACAATTAATATATTATGTACTACAATAAAAAAAAACATCTGAATAACGCTATCTAATAATATTATAGCGTTGTATCATAATAGATCAAACACTTTTGATAGTGGTTTTCTGTTTTGTTATCGTATTGTCGTATACAATAGCACTTATTTATTTGGAGTTAAATATATTATATAATAGACTATACTTCTTTGTCATTAGTTATACTAGATTGTGTACCCGTGCATTGCGTGGGGTTTTAATTTAAAAACTCTTCTATCCATATTAATCTTTGAGCATAACTATAATCATTCAAATTTTTAAAGATAAAAACTATATAAGTAAACACAAAAATAATTTTCTTAAGAGATATACAACATATATATTATTGGCAATAGTGTTTTCTTGACAAATAAATGTTTAATATTATTACATGGTAACAAAGATTACTTGAAAAAATTTGCGAGAAGAGTAAATAGCATCGACAACCAGCTCATGATCCTAATTGTAGATATCCTTTATGATTAGATGTTGATATAAATATAACACCTATATATATGACAAAATTTACCGAGCCTCATATACATCATTAGGTGTAAAAATAAATATATAATATCATGTCGCTAAAGTAGGTTTAGCAAACTTGCTTTATCCATCTTGAAAAGTGCAATGTGGTAAAAGAGAACTCTCGACCAAGTCATGAATGTGTCTATCTTATCTCATTTCTATAACTAACGGTTAAGCCCGACTTTGAATATAGTAGTGTGTCTTGAGTTTTTCATTTCACACAATAGATGGGATCTCAAATATTTCAAAATTTAGTCATATACATTATCTTTTTAAGTTATAGTCATTTATATTCAATCGCTTTTAACTACTAATTCTTTTTTGATCTTCTATAATGCACTTGTTACCTCTCGACATCTAGTTTATTTCTACCTTCTATTAACTCTCGCATACTATATATTGAAGTGTGAGTTACTTTTTAAAAAATATCATAACAATTTCTTCCTTAATAATAGTCCATTTTGGGTTAAAAGCATTTGATTCAGATCATGGGATATCAAACTTATTTTTCTTTTAGATTATGTTATAAATGAATAGTACTACTTGAGAATAAGTAAACTTTTTTTTTGAGATATGCTACACAAATTATATATCATTTTACGGCTTACAAATCACTTTCTCTATATTTTATTGTAAAACTCATGAATAATGTGATAATTAATTATTTATTATTTTAGAATATGGATAATAATGTTTTTCTAATTTTTCTATTCTTAATAGAATTTCACGGCATAAAGTGTGACCTTTCAAATTTAGAGTATTTTAAATTGAGTTTAGTAATCTTTTTTTTTAGTTTAAATTTAATTAAAAAATATGTAATATTGTTTTTAGAACTTATGTTTCACTTTAAATTTCTTTTTCCTCTTTAAAATTATTAAAGTATAATTACAAAAAATTTATATTATTCTACCATGCATTTAAAATTTACTTAAATTTTAAAACATATTACCACATTTAAAATTCCAAAGTATGATTATTTTAAAGTTTGTTGTTGTTTAGAGTTTGAATCATACTATTATTGCTAATAAAATTCTCATAGTATTGGTTTTACTATTTTAAATTTAATTTATTTTACATATTTTAATTTTTAATTATTTATTTATTAAAATGAAAAGAAATTATATGTTAACATTATGTAAATTTCTTTTTTCTTTATCTTTAATTTGTATTAACTATAAATAACATATTACGCACTACATGAACATGGGTTATGGAAGAGGCCAAAAACCCAATTTGGATGTAAAAGTGTTGGGGCTTAAATTACAAATTAACAGGCCAAAAGACAATAGAGTGATGAACAAAATATATGGGTTTAGATGATTTGTTGGGCTTGACACAAAAATTAGAAAAAATGCTGATGTGGACAATTTTAGAGGGAGAGAGAACTCTCCCATTATATATATAGATTTTCAAAAACTATTATTCATATATATATATATATATATTTATATATATAATCGAGTTTTTATTTTTATTAAAAGTATATACCTCAAATTTTCATTATAAGCAACATATTAATCAATAACAATAATTACAATTCTTTAATAAGAAATTAAAATGATCTGTATTTAATCAAGAACAATATTGAAATATTACAAAGTGAAAGCAGTAAAAAGCATCATGTAAAACCAATTTCTCTGTTCAACATCTCTCCCCTTGCAACGCCTCAGACTGTCATCTCTCCCATTGGGCTCCACGTTCACTCAACCCATAGGCCCACCTCTCTTAAAAGACTCCATGTTCTCTCAGTCCGTGAGCCCATCCATATTCGACGGTCGGTTTGCTATGTTTTAGAGGCTTTATAGACTTTTTTACCGACCCTACAAATCACCACATGATCTTTCTCTATGTTTTGGCCTCATGGAAGGTAAACCATATATTCTTGGATTTCTCCAACATAAGAGCGTTTAACTCTGGAGTTCTCTCAGGACACTTGATCGAAACGATAAGTGCACTTTGGTGATGAGATAGGTGGTCAAATAAATTTATTTTTAAACCTTTCCGCAAACCAGGGTCCCATGTTTCCGAGTCCCTTGACTTTAGTAATAACAATTGATATCGAGTCAGAGTTGTAACAACCCGCCCAGTGGCATTCCGCCACATGGCACACCCCGCCACATGGCACACCCCGCCACATGGCAACCTTACAGCGCTGCAGCGCATTGATCCTAATCTCTCTCGTGTGGGCCCAAACTGCGCAGCCCTCTGGCCCGCAGCCTCTTGGCCCACTAGGTCGATACGCTGCATCGCTTGTAGCTGCCATGTGGCGAGGTGTGCCATGTGGCAGGGGTTCCCACGGGACGAGTTGTTACATAAAAGTCGCCGGACAAGCTGTTACCAATTGATAATTGGAAGAACCCATCCTTTTTTTTAAAACATGTCGACCGGATTAACCCAACTAATTGTAAACCAGCTAAAACCAGCCCTAAATCAATTCAAAGTCAATTAAACCACACATAACATAACTAGCAAAAGACTTAAGCACAATCCATAAAAATAATTCCACTAAACCAACTAGTTCAACAAAACATTATTCCAGAAACATAAGCACCCTAACATGCTATTAAATTCCGTTCTAAACACCATAACAAAACCAACAATAATCTAAAACACCAATGAGCGCCTAGATCATCCTCCTCTCCTTGCCATGATTCCACGGATCACACTTTGCTTTTACCTGCATCAAAGAAAGAGATGCATAAGTATTTCATAAATACTTAGTGAGGCAATCATCCCACCACTGGCTATACACACAAGCACATTCAACCATCATTCAAGAAGAGAACCAAACATGCAATAAAAGACAAACAATAAGTCGCATCTGACTATCGGTGTCGATCGACACCCACCACTGGTGTCGATCGACACTCGCTGTCGACCCTCGCGGTCGACACCGGGCTCGACACTCCATTCGCGAGTCGTAGCTATCCTCGCGGGACAAAACATTGGTGTCAAGCGACACCCACCACTGGTCTCGATCGACACCGCGCTATGCAGTCACTCCAACTAACATTTTTCGCTGGATCTCCTCTCCAAATCACCACCTTGATATGGGCGAGTCTGCAAGGGGTTCCACAGGCATCAATCATCATATAAACATCCAAACAAGCAAAGGAATCAATCAAACAATCATCGAAACACCCAAAACAATGATCAAACGTGCTTAGATAAGCCTTGGTCATGCACTCACCTCTTAAACAAGAAAGAACAGCAACGAAACAGGGGCTTGCAATGGTGGAAACAATCTCCCACAGACACCAAATACCACAGATCAACCTTTCTCTAGCCTTGAACCACCAAGAACAAGCTTTGATCTCTCCAAAAACCCACTCAAAGGCACCAAAAAGGATCAAACTCACTCTCTCTTCTCTCTCAAACTCACAAAGCGACAAAGTGAAGTTAAAAGAGAGAAACAACGCTTCAAAGATTATAAAGTCGACCTAGGTTTTCCCCCAAACTGAGTTTTAATTGAACCGACGATTTAAAATTAAACCATCGAACTAAAAATTACTGGTGTCGATCGACACCCAACGTTGGGTGTCGATTGACACCACCTGAAATTCCAGACACGGGCGTTACAAGAGTACCTGAAAGGACAACGAAATTTACATGGAGAATCAATAGTTCTTGAGGTTTATGTATAAAAGACTTGTCCAAAGGTACATAATCAAAAGCACAACGAAACTGATTAAAGCTTGGCAACAAGGTAAGATGTCACTTTCTAAAAAAGAAACGTGGACAAAAAGAAGACTCAATGACTTCTTTTACTCACACCATCCCCATATATATATATACATCATATGACATGTGTAGGGGCTCAAATTAAAACTCAACACTTCAAAAGTCTTAGAACTTCAAACATGTCACTCTTCTTGGCTTTCTTTGGCCAAAAAAAATGAAACCGACAGTACTAACTTGGAGGTCTTGTCTTTGAAGAAACCGAAAAGTAAAAGCGAGTCCCTGAAAACTCCCACAATCGTCGTCTCTTATTTCCTAGTTGGTTCCAACCTTTCACGTCTATAGGAAATAGGAATGATGGAAACTCAAATTTTGTAGTGATGAGATGAGGCTAGATACTTTTAGTCCAAGTCCAATCTTGTGTTTTCCTTCTTATATTCATTTGATTACGTAAATAGACCAATCAAAGATTATGCTTTTGGTCGAAATATATAAATATAAATATATATATATTTTTTTTTTTTTTTTTTTTATAAACTCTATCAGCTGATCCTGTCAGCTTCGGTAGAAACACATCGAAGTTTTTCAGGTAAACCAAATTTTGGTAGAAATATTTTGTATTGATTTTGTATATCTCGAATGTCACGTAATGCGACCATGTAAATTGTCTTTTGTCAAATTGATAATAAATAACAATAATGACTTGGAAATCCAAAGTGGATAAAAAAGTTATTTAGCACTGTGGAAACTTATATATATATATATGTAAAATAATAATTATATATATATGTAAAATAATAATTATGTATATCTTGAATTTTATGCATAAATCGACATAGTTAAATGATGCATAAATCAGTTGATTTTTTTATGCAACATTTTAAGTTTTTTTTTATATCCAAAAAACCATAGTAAGCTTATATTTTCAAAAGTACCCTAAAATTTTATTTTTACAAAAATAACACAATCATAAAAGTAAATTTTGAAGGGAGTAAAATTATTTTTTAGGTCCGGGTTGAATATTTTAAATTTGGAGTATAGTTTTTAGGGATAGTGTTTAATGTTTAAGATTTAAGAGTTTGGTTTAAGGTTAAAAACATAGTTTTAGTCTTGTGGTAATATTGGAAAAAAAAAAACTTTAATTGGTATTTTGGATAGATTAACTAACAGTTAGTTATTTTAAAAAAAAATAAGTTAGTCGTAGTTATGAACATTTCCCTAAATTTTACCAATATCGATTTATTAACCAAAATAATATGGATTTTTGAAAGAAGTTTTTCTTACTAGTTAAAAGCAATGGGAAAATTCCATAAAAATTCCCCATCTAATTTTAATTTGGAAGTTTAATACCCAATGTTATTTGGTTGGAAACAAAATGCATGGTTTATTAATTTGTTGTCTATTAATACATCAAGTATATAAAAATTGTCGAATCGAAGAAACCGCTTAACAAACGATAATCAGATTGACAGAATCACTAAATCGGGGTTAATGGAATTACACTAAACTTAGGGTTTATCGATCCCAATTCGAATTGGGGTACTAGTAAAAAAAACTCATATAGCCACTTGGATATTCCTGGCTGAGCTTTAAAATTCGTAGCTATTAGCCAATATAGCCACGAATGTTCACGAAAACAATCGTGGCTATAGCTTCGTAGCTTATTTGAATTCGTGGCTTTTCCTGGCTGTGTAGCCACGAATTTGTCACACGTGTTCCGTAGCACCAATTAGTCACGTATTAACTACGTAATATTAGTGGCTAGTTTTGCCACGAATTAGCCACACTATATTTGTGATAATAGGAAGCCACGAATAAACATAGTGGCACTACCGTAGCATGTTTAGTAAGCTACAAATTTATATTGTAGCATTATCGTGGCATGCTGTACCCACAAATGTTTTGAAGCAATCGTGACTATATAGGTTGTTTCTATTTCCGAATTTGACAAATAAAATTTGTGGCTAATTATATATTTAGAATTTTTTTTATTTTTTTAAATCTAAATAAATATTAGAATTAAAACCTGAATCTGAAAACTAAAATTAAACAATTTTCAAATTAAATCCTAAAATTAGATTAGCAAATTAAGTTAAGTAGTTTACAATTTTACCAAAAGGTTTCAAAAGGCCTAAAACAAACTACTTCTTATAGTCCTAGTTAAGTACGCCAATCCTCATAAGAACCACAAGCAGCAGGAGCAGCAGCGGCAACAGCGACGGAACGGGGAACAGCAGTAAGTTGAGGGACAACTGGAGGTTGAGAGACAAATGGAGGTGTAGAGACATCCATAGTAGGAGAACCAACAGCGGTAGACGAACCAGCCGAAGTAGGAGAAGGAGCAGCAGTAGGAGGAATAGGAGGGGCAGTAGGAGGTAGAGGAATCCAATAGACTTTAAAACGTGAGAGAAAAACTGTCGTTGTGCAACCAACTTGTCGTCTACCTTGTCCATGCCAACCTTCAACACATTAATGTCACTCTCCAGACCAATGATGCGCATCTTGTTGTTGCAGCTCTTGTAAACAAGTTGGAAACAAGAAGAAATTTAGAATCATTTCATCTCAAACACAAGTTATGACACAAAACTTAGAACACATGAACTGAAGAGACAAGAGATAAAGAATCAATAGATCACTCTGTCCCAATCAGATCCGCCTTATGAATATAACCAATCCAGTCTACAACACCAACTAACAAAATCAGAAAATCAAGAGAATGTTACAAAATACAGAATATAAAACATCATCTCTAACACAAGTAACAATCTGTAATTGAAATCCTAATACTATTTAAACTCTTATTAGAACACACAGACAAAACACATGAGGTGAAGAGACAAGATGTAAACAAGCAACAGACCCCTCTGCAAAAATGCTAACACTTCTGCAGTTTAAAGGCTCCACAGAACATAGGCTCAACAGCTCATTGTCAGACCAGTTACGACTTGTTAACTTTACTCAACAAGAATCAACACAACATAGACTCAGTTAAGCACAAGTGTTAGACAAGATACGACTTATTAATTATACTCAACAAGGAACAACAGAACATAAGACTCAACTTATCTACCCATTTTGCAATACCAAACCAAACAAGTTAACAATTTCGAAATCAAATATGTAATCACTTCCACAGTTTATAAATCAGACATAATCAAATGTAAAACCTAAAGCTAAGTTTAAATATAAGCGTAACAAGAACTTGAATCCTAGACAACATTATACACGACAACAAACAGATGTACAAAGGTAGAGAAAGAGTGAAATAGAGCAAAACATGAAATCAAACAAACTTCCACAGTAATCGAACCTTAGAGAACCATAAGCACAAACAATAAGAGAATTTAGAAGAAACTGAAAACGAAATTCTAATCAACACAACATAGAAATCGTGCAAACAAATGAACTAATCAAACCATAAACAACCCTAGACATCAACAATAAAACGGATCTAAGTGAAAAAAAGAGGAGAGAAACAAAGCCCCGAGAAGAAGAGTCGCAAACAACCCTAAACTCCATTGAAATGTTTGGAGACGAAGAGACATACCGGCTGAACCAGAGCCGGTTGTCCGGTGACGACGCCGGTCTTTCTGTTGGCCACAGATAGTCATGACGATGGTTGCACGAATCAGAGAGGTAGAGACTAGAGTTGAACAAGAAAGAAGAGAGGAATCGGCGAGAGTGTTGTTGTTAGGGTGTTATTAGTGGGTGTTATTGAATAGTGTATTTCAATGTATTTTAAAATCTGCTGTTATTCAATTATGTATTTGATAAAGTACAACACAATCCACTGTTATTCAATATAAGTTTGATTTTGTTGTATTTTGGTTGGAAAGGATTTTAATGTATTCTTTTGTCTAAAACATGAGTAAAGCAAATACGTGCCTTTTCTCTCTGATTTTGATGTACTTCATAGAAAACTATAACCAAATAAATATTTTTAAAATTATTTCTTCTTCTTCCATTTATAACCGAGAACCTATAAAGAACGTAAGGAATTTAAATGATGAATAAGTGCAAGATCCACCATGGCATCTTCAAGCGGAGAACTTTGCTGGGAAGGAGGAAGAAGAAGAACTACAATCATGACTTTAAAAACAGAAAATCAGATGCTTCATTAGGAAGATAAATCCACATATCCCTTCAACATTTTATTTGCAACATACTAAATCTTTTATGTTTTTTGTTATTTTGATCCTTTTCCTACGAAGAACCGATGTTGCCGTCTCGGAGTCGTCACGAAACAAACGTAATTTATATTAGTAAACATAAAAATGCATAGTTACTTTTTTTTTAATGAATCTATAATCTGATTCATTATAACACAGATTATAGATTACAGAGCAGTTATAATATAGAGCAGTTACTTTTTTAAATTAATAACTATAATCTGTAGTGAAAACAATTAAAATCCATCGGTTTTGTAATGAATCTATCAAAATCCTTTTAAGTACTTTCAAATTCAATTACTTTAAAATACATAGAAATCATCAATTCAATAAGTGGGCCTAATTTGGTTAGTGGGAAAATAAAAAAATCTGGATGAGTTTGCAAATTTTTGGTGGGAATCTGAAAAATTCTCAAAATCATTTTGGTGGGAATTCTAATACTTCCAAAATGCTTAAAATTATTAAATAAAATATACTCTTTATAAATGATTTAATGGCTACCTATACTATACAATAATTTAATTAACATAAAACCTTTTTATTTTTAAACATAATAATAGAAAATATAATTAATTATTTCAATCTTAACATAACAACCTTTAATTTCTTAAACATAATATATATTAGTAAACATAATTATTTCAATCTTAACACAAAACCCTTTTACTGCATGATATATTACAATGTAAACTACATAACTTAAATACGTTTTTATATCGTGTCTATATTGTAGCCACGTTTTCTCCATGTCTATTATTCGTCGCTATGATTAGCCACGTTTTCTCCACGTCTATTATTCGTCGTTATGATTAGCCACAATTTTGCTACGTTTTTTTATCCGTAGATATATTTAGCCATGAATTAACCGCGTTTTTGCATCGTGACTAAATATAAGCCACGATAAAACCATACTCATATATTTGTGGCTTGTTTGATTATATTCACGAAGCGTTGTGGCAATAACGCAGCTATACGTTTTTTTACTAGTGGTAAAAGCAAAAGACAATGCAGTCTTTGGATAACCCCAAATTACTCGTGTGTTTAGGGATTAGTGATTTCGTCAACTTCTGTTTAGTGATTCCGTCAATCAAAATCTATATACTTAATTTTTATATACTTAATGTATTACTAGACCAAAATTTAATAAACTATGCATTTTATTTCCAGTCAAATAACATTGGGTATTAAACTTCCAAATTAAAATTAGATGGGGAATTTTTATGGACTTTTCCCTAAAAGCAATTAACTAGTAAGGTCAACCATGATTAAAATTGTGAGGGGATAATTATTTTTCTTGAAAGTTTTCAGATTAAACAAAAATACTTTTTTGGTTGAATTAATTTTGCATACGTTAATAAAAATACATGTTGATGGCTTGACTATAGATCCTTAATATTCTTCTTGCTGAACAATTAGATGGATAGTCAAAAGTTCTTGAGGTCCAAGTATACACAAATATTGAAAAAAAAAAACAACATTAATAATGAAGGACACCAAAATATAAGTCACTTGCCCAATCAAAGAATCTGATTTTGGTCGACACTATTTGGTATTTGATTTTTGTTGTGTAATTATCGAATTCCATAGCCAAACAAGAAATTATATATCAAATTTTATTAATTAATAACATGTGCAATGGCAAATTTCCAAGTGAAATTGATCGAATCTGATCCCTTAAATTAAACACCACAAGCTGTGTCCACTAAATTTAAATCGTACATGTGGCTAAGGAATCCATGTACATTTATTTTGCCATTAAAATGTAAAACGAACATTTTATATATTGATGTGTGCTGATTCATTTTCCCAAAAAATAAAAAGATGTATCTATACTATTAAAAGGGAAGCATTTTGAATAAACTAAGTATATGTAGTATGCAATTGAAAGGTGTAGAGCATATGCATTTAGTTATAACAATAAACAAGAATAAGGATAGTTAAGGTAATTTAAATAGAAACCATAATTTTGGGAAACATGATATTTTTTTAAAAAAAAACAGTGATCCCTAAAATCAAGTATCCTAAAAAATACTAAAATAGCTGAAAAAATCTTCAAATTAAGAAAATATTTATTATTACGAAAATATAGCTATGAAAATCCCCACTAAATATTACGAAATATAGCTCATAAAATTTTCAAGATTAATACATACTTATTATCTTATTTCAAATTCCAAAAATAACTAATGTAAAATTCTAAATTATGGAGCAATCTTCTCAATTGAATCCAACCACTTTTAATTCTTATTCAAAATTATATAGCAATCTTATATCAGATTTCATATTTTAATCATTGATTGTATTTTAAATTATTTTATATGAAAAGAAGATTCACATTATTATATTTTTATATGTGAAATACAAAAAGTTTTTGAAGTAGAATAAATTTTTTAAAAATGTATTAGATGAAATTTCTATAGTCCTATTTATCTAAATACAAGTACATGAAATTAGTTAAAGAGCGCTGGAAACAGTTCATTTAACAAAATAAAAATAAAAACAGTATCCAAACTATTTCAAATAAAATACATAACGAGAACTTTGGATAACGAAATAGATTATATAATTTGGATACCAATAATTTCAATTTTAAAGCTATTTCAGATAATTATATATTTTTCCGGGTCAACGTCGGTTTTGTGCCTTATTTAAAGGCTTTCAAATAAAACAAAAAGCAATATATATATATATATATATATAATATAAAATATTATAATCTTAAACAATTACTAATATAAATAACATAATTATCAAAAAAAAAATTATTCATGGTTAAAATTACTTATCATTAAGAGTATTTAAAAACAAAACTATTTTTAATTTGGATAAATAAATCTAATTTGAAATTTTACTGATAATTTAAATTTGGATAAAGAAATTTAATTTCATACTTTTACTGATTATATAATTGGTCAAACTTCGGGTTTACGGGTTGTCTGCAATTTTTTAAAAGGAAAAATATAACTATATGTTAATTTAATATATATTATTAAAATCTAAATTAATTTTTAATCATTGAAGCGAACTATATAAGTTTATCTTATATATTGGGATATGAAATAACATACCAAGAAAACGGATAATTCAGAAAATAAAAACCATTATCTAAACTGTTATTGGTGAAATACGCGACGAAAATATAGGGTAAAAGGAATTTGGGATAACGGAAACTCAAGTAGGACATATACGAACATACTATTTACTAATATGGACTATATGTAACATATATGGTAAGGTACAGGTAACTCAGAAAATAAAAATCATTATCTAAACTGTATTCCTAATAAAAGAGAGGTCGGAAATTTAGCGTAATACATGAATTCAAACAGAACAGATACAAATATATCATTTACTAATGTGGAGAATGCGAAATGTATATATTGGTGAGTTAAACATATTTTAATCGGTTGCGGAGTATGAATAGCAGACGTGTTAACCCCCTTGAATTTTTATCATCCATGTTAGGATTTTTTTTATTTTTAGCTGTTTTTATCGGTCTATAAAAGACAACCACTTTTCTCTTACTATATAACTTTTTAATATAGTTGTTTTTACGGGTAACAAAACTAAATCTTATCGTTACTTTTGTTTAAGCTAAATTGAAAACAAATCAAATACTGAACTGGTACGAGTTTCGACTATGAATGTTAATAACATTCTTAAGAAATGTCTTTTACAAATATAACTCTACATATACATAATATATTGCAAATATGATAGCAAATTTAGTTTTTGAAATCAATCCCACATGTACGTGCGGGTCCAAATCTAGTTTATTATGAACCGAAGAAACCAGAAAACATATTTAACATGTATCAAGACCGATTATTTCTCATTATCAGTGTAAACTAGATTTTAATCCGCGCTACACAGCGGGACAAAAATTTTGTTTTTTAAATTCCAATTTTTCTATTATGCTAGAATATGTTTAGAAACTATTAATCTTAATTAAATCATTTTGATTCGACATGTCTTATATTGGTATTATTTTAAAATAGTATAATGGAATTTTAACTCGTTTTGAAGTATTATGCTAGAGCTTTTTCTTTACAGTTTTTAACTAAAATTTTTATTTCTTTTTGGTGATTTAGGAGTTGTTGGCCATGGAATTCAATGATTGGCCACAAGAAGAAGAGAATGAGCCATATATAGAGCCACCATTTGATGAGAGTGTTCTTACACCAGAACAAAAAGAGAAGTTGGATGAACTTTACGTGGAGAATCCAACATTGACAAGGAGTGAATTAACGAATTTGATCCGGTTGAACCTCTTATCGTTGCGAGCAGCATATGAATCTTATCGTTTCGAGCAGCATATGAAGGAAGGCAACTCACAGGCTATAAGACCAAAGAATCACATAATCTTGAAAAGGTAATATACTGGGTTCCAACAAGCGAAATAGAAGGCACATACATTTCAACCCTTGAAATTCATGATTTTAAGGATTTTCCTATGCCTTGAATCAAAGATGTGACTTCTTATTTGCATACTCCCAAGATTATTAGTGAATGTTATGATTTGATAGGTGAGTCTCAA